AAGGAGGGATGGAGGATGGGGAGGAGAGGGGGGGGAAGGAGGAAAGGGAGGGAGGGAGGGAGGGAGGGATGGAGGGAGTGGGGAGGGAGGGAGGGAAGGAGGATGAGGTGGGAGGAGGGAGGGGAGGGAGAGGAGAGGGAAGGAGGAGAAAGGAGGGAAAAAGAGGGAGGGAGGGACAGGGGGTGGAAAGGATGTAAGGAGGGAGAGAGGAAGTAGATAGGTAGGTACATAGATAGATAGATATATAGACAGATAGATAGATAGATAGATAGATAAAGAAAAACGGAATCTGAATCTCTTTATTATGTCTATACAGTCATTACATTTACATATATAATCATGCAGTGCATTGTGTTGCCGACCGGGCTCTTTGGTGAGATTGCTCATCTTGCAAGAGAAGGTAAGAGAAAGAGATATAAAGAGAGAAAAGAAAAAAGAGAGAGAGAAAAGATATAAAGAAATAGAGAGAGAGAAGAGAGAGAGAGAGAGAGAGAGAGAGAGAGAGAGAGAGAGAGAGAGAGAGAGAGAGAATCATAAAGAAAAAAAAGAGAGAGAGAGAAATCTTCAAGAAGGAAAAGAGGTAAAAAAATCTTCCAAGAAAAAAAGAGAAAGAGAACAAAATAAAAGAAAAAGAAAAAGAGAGATGTTTGAAAAAAAAAAACAGCTCCACACAACTGAACACAACCACCTCCCATTCTCACCTCCCCAACCACACCCAAAAACCTTAATTTCCCCTCCTTCACTACCCCCTTTCATTCTTTCCCACCTCCCCACTCCCCACCCCCCCCACCTTCCAATTCCCCTCTTCCCCCACTCCCCCTACCTATTCTTTTCCCAATTCCCCCCTCTTCCCCATCCCCATCCCCCTCTATCATTTCCCCTTCCCCCTCTCCCCCACCTTATCTTCCCTCACACCCCTCCCCTCCCTCTCTCACCCCCCCCCCTTTTCCCCACCCCATTCCTCCTCTATTATATTCCCCCTTCCCCCCCTCTCCCCACCCCCATCCTCCTCATTATTTCCCCCATTCCCCCCCTCTTCCTCCCTCCTATCTTCCCCCATTCCCACACTCCCCTAACCCTCACTCCCCCCCCCCGTCACCCCCTCCCTCCCCAACCCCCTTAACCTGATAGCATTGATCATCTCCAAGCCCATCTTCACGCAGTTCACGGCGTGGTTGGGGCGTGACACAGGGAGGCCGGACACGCAGTAGTAGCAGTCGCCCAGGATCTTGATTCGTAGACACTGGTTATCCTGCGAAAGACGAAGAGAGGGAGAGAGATAACGGTGAGAGAAGGAAGGATTGATAGATATATGAAATGGAATGAATGAAGGATAGATTAAAAAAATGAATGGGTAAGTGAAGAATTGGAAGGATAGAAAAATATGATGGATAATTGATTAATGGAAGGATGGAAAAAAATATGAATGGATGAATGAGGAAATGATTAATGGAAGGATAGAAAAAATATGAATGGATAGATGAAAAAGATTAATAAAGGAAGGATAGGAAAAATATGAATTGATGAATGAGTGAATGAATAATGAAAGGATAGAAAAAAATGTGAATGGGTAAATGAATGATGGAGGATAGAAAAATATGAATGAATAACTGAAGGGATAGAATAAGTATGAATGGATAAATGAAGAAATGAATAAGGAAAGGTAGAAAAAATATGAATGGATAGATTAAAAAAGGAAGGATAAAAATATGAATGGATAAATTAAAAAAATAAATGAAGGATAGAAAAAAAACATGAATGGGTAAATGAATAAGTGAATAAAGAAAGGATGGAAAAAATATAAATGGATAAATGAAAAAATGAATAAGAAAGGATAGAAAAAATGGTGATTATGGATTTGAGCGAAGGAATGCTGTTGAAGAATAAAGATAATGATAAAATTGTTTTTAGATAACTGGTTCTTTGAGTAAATCTAATCAAAGTATTAATACCATTGTTCGCATTGTTATATGGCATTTACGTTAGTGTTATCATTGTTATTATTACTTTAATTACTTTTATTATTATCTTTATAATCACTGTGATTATCATTATTATTATTATCATTATCGTTATCATTATTACCATCCTTATCATTATCATTATTTTTGTTGTCATTAATATCATTATCATTACTTTTGTTATCATTAACATCATTATCATTACTTTGTTATCATAATATCATTATCATCACAGTTGTCTGCAAATATCGGTACCATTGTAATTATCCATGGTAACTACATAATTTCTATTTACTGGTTAGTGCATTTTCATTTCACTATTAACCAACGAAATATCCACTGAAATCTAAGTGAAAATCTTGGCTTAATTTTTTCTAGGCGTGACACATGTCATAAAAATGTCAATATCGATATTTCATAATTTTTGCTTTAATTTCTTTTTGTATATTTGTCTGACAGTCTGTGTGCTTTTCTAAGCAACTTTCTTAACTGTTTGCTAATGTGGCATTATCTCTTTCTCTCTGTCTGTCTCCCTCTCTCTTCTTCTTTCCCTCTCCTTCCCCCCTCTTTTCTCTCTCTTTCTCTTTCTCTCCCCTCCCCTCTCTCTCTTGCTTTCCCTCTAATTCTCTTTCTCTCTCTCTTCCTCTTCCACACTCTCCCCTCTAATTATCTCTCTCTTTCTCTCTCGTTCACTCTCTCTCCCTCTAATTCTCTCTCTCTCCTCTCTCTCTCTCTCTCTCTCTCTCTCTTCTCTCTCTCTCTCTCTCTCTCTCTCTCTCTCTCTCTCTCTCTTCTCGTCTCTCCTCTCTCTCTTCTCTCTTCATCTCTCCTCTTTCTCTTTCCTTCTTCTTTCCCTCCCTCCTCCCTCTTCTCTTTCTCTTTCCCTTTCCGGCCTCCCCCTTTCTCTCTCCTTCACCTCCCTCTCTAAATCTATTCAGTTTCCTCTTCCTCTTCTCTTTCGTAACCTCACACTTCTGACCTTCTCCTCTCCTCTCTCTCTAACTATATGAACCGTATTCATGTTGACAAATGTAGAAAAGGCGTGAATGGGAATGGTTATCTTCACGGCTACATGAGATGTAGATTTGTTTCGATATATCATCATCAAATACACGTGTTTCTGAAAGAACCACGTGAAAATTGAAACGGTCCAAATACATTTTTGTATTGTGAGGGTATTCTCATTCATGTCTTTTATATTCTAACTATAATTCAATCTCTCTCTCTCTCTCTTTCTCCCTCCCATCCCCTCTCTCTCTTCCTTCCCTCCTTCTCTCTCTCTCTCTCTTTCTCACTATCTCCTTCTCCGTTTTTTTCACCCCCTCCCCTCTCTCTTCTCATTCTCCCTCTCCCTCTCTGTTCTCTTCTTCTCCCCTCTCTATTTCTATCCAGCCCCTCCATCCCCCTCTTCGCAACCTCACACACCTACTTCTCCCCCCTCCCTCCCCTCGACCCCCCTCCCTCTCCCCCAACGCTAAGCTTTATGAGACTATTCCTCACACATCTCATTCTTGAATTTCGTTTCTCATCCTCATGTCAGAATTCCCTGAGGGGAGATTGGTATGTTGTTACTATTTCTATTTTCAGGGGCGTGTGTGTGTGTAAGTTTGTTTTGTTTGTGTGTTTTTGTTATTGTTTTGTGTGTAAGTTAAGCATTTGTTTGTTTGTTTATTTGTTTTGTGGTGCGTTTGTTTTGTTTGTGCTTTTGTATTTTTTGTCTTGGTTTGTTTGCTTTTTATATGCTTGTTCTGTGTGTGTGTTATGTGCGTTCATTTATTTGTTTTTTTATGGGTTTGTTCTGGGTGTGTGTATGTGCTTTCGTTTATTTGCTTTTTATGTGTTTCTTCTGTGTGTGTTATGTGCGTTTGCTTACTTGTTTTTTTCTGTCTGTGTTTGTGTGTTTGTACGAGCGCGTGTGCGTCCGCGTGTCTGCCTGTGTCTATCTGTATGTATACAAAAATCACTCAGTTTCGCTACATATGTAAACACGTGTATGCATCCCCACAGCTTTCCTTTCTCCTTTCCCCCTCTTTTCTCTTTCACTCTCTCTCCCTTTCCCTCCCTCCCCCCTCTCTATCTTTCTCTTTTTCCCCCCCTCTCTCTCTCTTCTTTTCCTCTTATCTTTCTACTCTCTCTCTCTTCTCTTCTTTCCTCTAATTCCCCTCTCTCCTCTTTCTCTACTCAATTTCTCTCTCTTCTCACTCTCTTCCCTCTCCTTCTCTCCCTCTTCTCTCTCTCTCCCTCCCTCTCTTCTCTCTCTCTCTCTCATCTCTCTCTCTCTCTCTCTCTCTCTCTCTCCTCTCTCTCTCTCTCTCTCTCTCTCTCTCTCTCTCTCTCTCTCTCTCTCTCTCTCTCTCTCTCTCTCTCTCTCTCTCTCTCCTCTCTCTCTCTCTCTCCCTCTCTCCTCTCTCCCTCTCCCTCCCTCCCTCCCTCCCCTCTCCCTCTCCTCTCCCTCCTCTCTTCACTCTCACTCTCTTTCTCCTCTCTTCACCCCCTCTCTCTCTCACTCCCCCCCTCTCTCCCCTCTCCACCGCCGTATCTCACCTGGGCGATCTGGTCAAAACTCCCGAAGAGGTTATTCAGGGTCGTCACGAGGTCACTGGCGCTCAGCTGTTCCGAGAGGGGCGTGAAGTTGACGATGTCTGCGTAGAGGATGCTGCGGGCGAGGACACGAAGGGGAGATGATGAAAGATATGTTGCAGGGAGGAGGAGATAGATAAATGAGTGGATGAGATAGTTAGAGGAAAAGATAGAAAGGTGGATAGGAGAACAAGAATAGAAGGAAAGGTAAACAGACAAACAAACACAACACAAGATATGTTGCAGGGAGGAGGAGATAGATAAATGAGTGGATGAGATAGAAGAAAAGATAGATATAAAGTGGATAGGAAGAACAAATTAGAAGGAAAGGTAAACAGACAAACAAACTTAAGACAAACAAACACAGCACAAGATATGTTGCAGGGAGGAGGAGATAGATAAATGAGTGGATGAGATAGGAAGAAACTAGATAGTTAGAATGGTGGATAGGAGAACAAATAGAAGAAAGGTAAACAGACAAACAAACTTAGACAAACAAACACAGCACAGATATTTGCAGGGAGGAGGAGATAGATAAAATGAGTGGATGAGATTAGAAGAAAGTAGATAGAGGAGGGGTGGATTAGGAAGAAACAAATAGAAAGGAAAGGTAAACAGACAAACCAAACTTAGACAAAAACCAAACACAAGCACTAATATGGTTTGCAGGGAAGGTTAAGGAGAATAGATAAGATGAGTAGATGAGATAGTTAGAAGGAAGTAGATAGACATAAAGGTGGATAGGAAAAACAAAATAGAAGGAAAGGTAAACAGGACAAACAAACTTAGACAAGCAAAGACAACACAGGAGAATATGATAGCAGGGAGGAGAAATAGATAAATTGAGTGGATGAAATAGAAGAAACTAGATAGTTAGAATGGTGATAGAAGAATAATAGAAGGAACAGGAAACAGACAACAAACTTAGACAAACAAACACAGCAACAAGATATGTTTGCAGGGAGGAGAAGAAGTAGATAAATGAGTGGATGAGATAGAAGAAAAGTAGATAATAGAATTGGATAGGAAGAAACAAATAGAAGGAAAGGTACAGACAAACAAACTTAGACAAACAAACACAGCACAAGATATGTGCAGGAGGAGGAGATAGATAAATGAGTGGATGAGATAGAAGAAAGTAGATAGTTAGAATGGTGGATAGGAAGAACAAATAGAAGGAAAGGTAAACAGAAAAACAAACTTAGACAAACAAACACAGCACAAGATATGTTGCAAGGAGGAGATAAATGAGTGATGAGATAGTTAGAAAGGGAAGTAGATTAGAATGGGTGATAGGAAGAACAAATAGAGGAAAGGTAAACAGACAAACAAACTTAGACAAGCAACAACACAAATTGTGCAGGGAAGGAGAAGATAAATGAGTGGATGAGATTAGAAGAAAGTAGATAGTTAGAAGGTGGATAGGAAGAACAAAATAGAGAGGAAAGGTAAACAGACAAACAAACTTAGACAAACAAACACAGCAGAGTATGTTGCAGGGAGGAGGAGATAGATAAATGAGTGGATGAGATAGAAAGAAAGTAGATAGATTAGAAAGGTGGATAGGAAGAACAAATAGAAGAAAGGTAAACAGACAAACAAAACTTAGACAAACAAACACAGCACAAGATATGTTGCAGGAGGAGGAGATAGATATAATGAGTGGATGAGATAGAAGAAAGTAGATATAGAGAAGGTGGAATAGGAAGAACAAATAAGAAGGAAACAGAAAACAAACTTAGACAAACAAACACAGCACAGAGATATGTTGCAAGGAGGAGATAGATAAATGGAAGGGGATGAAAACATAGTTAGAAGAAAATAGATATAGAGATGGGTAGGCGAACAAATAGAAGGAAAGGCAAACAGACAAACAAACGTAGACAGATAGATAGGCAAACAGAAGGAAAGGTAAACAGACAAACAACAGATAGATGAACAAACAGAAGGAAAGGCAAACAGACAGGTAGATAAACAAAATGTAAGAACAAACAGATAGATAGACAAACAACAAGACAGACAGATAAACAAATGTAGACAAAAAACAAACATTAGATAGACAGATAAACAAACAGACAGATAAACAAACATATAGATAAACAAACAGACAGATAAATAAAAAGGGTAATACAGAGAAAGAAGGAAAAAAGGACGAAATTTACGAGCTAAATCGGAGTCGTATCAATCCTGAGTCACTCTTACTTACAGAAACTTGCCAGAGGTTAAAGTTACTTAACTAGTACTTCATACTTTTTCCTCTTCGTGCATATATCTATATCTATATCTGTCTATAGATATGTCTGTCTGTCTATCTATGTCTATCTATCTATCTATCTATATGTCTATCTATCTATCTATCTATCTATCTATATATCCATTTGTCTATCTATCTATCTGTCTATCTATCTATCTATCCATTATCTATCTATCTATCTATCAATCAATCAATCTATCTACCTATATAAATAACACACGTTCCCTAAAACATAAAAAAATAAAACTTAATATAAACCTCAAAATAAAGCAAACAACAAAGGCAAGTGGGAGGCGAACATACGCACTCCATAACGTAAACTAATATAAACGTACTCGCTTTATAGAGATATACGAATATACGTAGTCGCTTTATAGAGATATACGAATATACGTACTCGCTTTATAAAGATATACGAATATAAGTAGTCGCTTTATAAAGAATATACGAATATAAGTAGTCGCTTTTATAAAGATATACGAATATAAGTAGTCGCTTTATAAAGATATACGCGTAATAAAGATATACGAATATAAGTAGTCGCTTTAAAAGATATACGAAATATACGTTTATAAAGATATACGCGCTTCAGAAAAAACGTAAACAAACCAGCGATTCCGTACCTGACGTTGTTGTGGCGTTGGACGTAGAGGTCTCGGAACTGCTTTCTCGGCGGCCCGATTTGGCGTGTCATCATGTGGCGTT